GTGTTTCCTCCCTTTACAGGGGCATCCACGGGCCCTTGAGAGGGTCCCAGAAAAGGTTACCAATAGCGTATGCTCGAATTTCCTGGTCCGGAGGAGAGATTTCGGGGATGTAGTCGGAGAATTCACCTTGCAGGCGATCCACCAACTCCGCAACATCCGTCCATAACGACCATACTTCTCTTCTCCTTTGAGTAGAACAATAGGGGGCACAGCAAATAGCGGGGGTCCGGGCTCCATACGCGTAGGTAGCTCCCCGAAGTTGACGAAGTTCGTTTGCCTGAAGTACGTCTCTGTATAACGACGCACAGTCGCCCCAAGTATCTCAGTTCAACTTGGTCACACGCCACACTTGGACCAAGAACTCCCAGGTAACGTTACGTAGAGGAGTCGTTAGGACCCAGACCGTTACAGCCCCTACGTACACGGGCCACAGCTCCCAGCGGGCATACTCGTAGAAGACACTAGTATGGGGCTCCATTTAGACGGGAGTACACTCGGCAAATAAGAAACTGAGTACTCCCCTGGCGACTCTTCTCGACGTCATTCGACCTCCATCCTTCTTAGTCGCCACCCATCTGTCAAGTCCAGTAGCTGGGAAAGGAGAACTCCGATTCCTCGCCCTTTTCAGGAGTCTCTGTTGCACCCACTATACAGTTATCACAGGAACCTCGAGAGAGACAGGGCCGGAGGTCCAGGCACCGACGGGCAGTTTTCATGCTCATTTGGCAATTTTGCCTCGACTTCCGACACACCCTCGGCGCCCTCTCTTTTCACCACCCCAGTATGGGCACCTCGCGCGGAACAGCCACGCGTCGTCTCAAGGCCGTCTGGAACGTGGAGTCTTCGGACTCCGACGGCTCCTCTTCAGATGACACTCCGGCCGACGAGCGCTTCTGGATCCTCATGCGAGACGTCCTGGCCGCAAACGCTAGCTCCATCGGCCTCGAGCTTCTGGACGACGTCGCCGCCGCGATCTTGGACGACACGGGGAAGGCTTCGGACGCTCTGACGGGGCCGGTAGTTATCATGCCCAGGCCGCCTCGGCAACCGACTCGCGGGAAGCCGCCTCGGCACCCCCGCTTCACGCAAGATGGTCGCTTTCCGCTCAAGAGTGTCAGCACTGGCTCGACTAAGAAGAAGACGATCACGGAGAGTCCTCGATCCGGCAAGAAGCGTCCGAGTCACCCGTGGTCTTCGCTCGCGTTACCCTTCAATTTATCCGACACGACTCCTTCTCCCGTGGTCGATGATCTGAAACGGGTTTATTACGAGGCGGCCGAGTTAGGTCAGGAACCGTACCAGCTGGCGTATCCGTGGCCGGGCTCGCACTTGTGGTACAACCCGCAAGAGTACCCGCATGTGCACGCTTCTCACTGGCGCTTCTGGAACGAGAACCGTTCCAAGTTCTGGGATTGGCAGGCGAACGTCCCGTTGAGGACCTCCAACGCGCAGACCCAGCGGCGCAAGGCTAAGATGGCGGCAGTAGTCGCACGCGTCTGGTTCCTGAGCATTTGTATCGAGACCTGGGGCTACTTCGGCTTCCTTCGTCTATTCGAGAGCAGCGCGCACCGTCGTCGCCTTATGTGGATGGGAGGACAGCCTGGTCGGAACGCCCCAGACGCCAAGTCCTACAATGGCCCCGTCATCGACAACTTGTCTAAGCTGTACTCGCGCGACTCAGAATCGTACTCACGAAAAGTGAAGAACGCTCTCAAGCCGTTCCGGATCGACGAGGGAGGTTTCACGACCATCCCGGAGTTGTTGGAGCATACCGGAGCCCTGGACCCAAATAGTTCGAAGCCCGACAGTCAGCTCACGGATCGGGCGTTGGCCCTCGTTCTGCTGGACATTAAGTCGAAGGAGGATCATGAACCTCATTGAATAGGGGATCGTTCGAAGGGAGTCTGGTATGCGCTTAGTCACTGCTCGCGTCTTCAGAAGATGACGGCCAAGCTTTCGCGCGAACGGGAGAAAGGAGCTCTTCGAACACCCAAGGTAACCCCTTTAGATGCGTCTGAAGCTGACTCGGCGGGATACGCGGCGTATGAGCGTACGGACGGCACTTACACGGCGATTTGGGAGGAAGCGCGTGAGGAAGAGTCGGCTTACGAGGAGGATGAAGCCGAGAGCGACTCTGAAGAACTCCGCCCCGTTAAGAAGACGCTGCGCCTTTCTTCTAGTTCCGACGAAAGTTCGGAGGACGACGAGCCTCCCAACAAGCGTCTACAGCTTCCTCACAAGTCTCGGAGGGCGAAAGAGCGCGCGAAGCGTTCCCGTTCCCCGTCTCGCAGCTCTACCTCCCTGAAGAAGCCTCGATTAAGTTCGTCGCGCAAGCGGTCCTCTTCATCTTCACGCGCTAAAGGCAAACTCAAAGCGCGCGCTGCTTCGTCAGAACGTTCTGTTTCTCCTTTACGGTCACGATCGAAGTCCCCAGTGCACAAGAAGTCCGTCGGTCACGTTCTGAGGAGCGTCCTGCGTCTCGGTCGAAGTCTCCGACGAAGTCCTCAACCATCAAGACGAGTAGGGAGTACCGGCGGGGCAAAGCACGATCACCTTCGCACTCGAAGGGGAGTAAAGTCACCCCCGACAAACCGATCAACGGCAAAACGCCGACTCCTCCGTCAGCTCCAGCGTCGCTGGACGGTACGCGTAAGCGGTCGCGTTCGGTGTCTTCCTTGAAGAAGGCAGTGCCCCCTAAGGCACGCTCGGCCTCGCGGTCCCCGTCAGCACCTCGGAAGTCGAGTTCGCCGGGTGTTCATTCAGCTCCTAGTTCGCCGGCTAAAAAGTCCGACAAAACAGCCTAGCGAGAGGCCGTCAAGAAGTTATTGATTCGTACCATTCCAGAACCGTTCCTCACTGGATGAGAGTAAGAGTACTGGCATAGTCTTCCTTTTTAAGTTTCTTTTTGTTTTTCACCACGATTCGTCCCCACTTGTTGTTTTCGTTTCTTTTTCTTGAGATCGCGGTAAGATTGTTTTTCTTTTTGGTATGTAGGAGATCAGCCACTTGTGAAGTAGAATCCAAAAATATACAAAGTCGTAAGAAGTGTTCTTCAGGACACTTTCGAGGGAGGCGGGGTCGTGAGTTTACTCTGGCTCATTGGATCGACCCGCCACGATTCCCCCTCCCTAGAAGAGTAGCTCTTCTTCGTCAACGGCGGCGTTAGCGTCTTCCAACCGCGCGCTGCGACGTAGTTCTGGTAGGTCTCCCTCCCGACGACGGGTTTCTTCGAACGCCTTGATCAGAGCAGCGTAGGTGGGCAATAGTGTGTTTCGTGGTCTCCAAAGAGTCTCGTAGGTAGCTAACAACACCAGGAACTGCTCTTCACGGTTCTTTTTGCGTCGGGCGATTATGTCGATCACAGAGCAAGGAACTCCGGTCAGGGCCGTCTCTTCCCCTCCAATCAGGAGTCTCTCTACGAAGCTAGTAGAGGGGAGGTCCTCTTCTGATAGAGGTCCGTCGTCGTCTACACCCGGACTCGACTGGACTCCCTCGGGTACTTCAGAAGGAAACGGTCGACTCCATCGCCCTTGGAAACGTTTCAACCTATTGACGTTAATGGTCACGACCCGATTGGGGTGAGAAGGGATGACTACTCGATAGGAGTTCTCTCCCACGACCCCGACCACACGGTACGGACCATGCCACGCGAAAGCGAGCTTCTTCGTGGTCTTTTCCCCGCGACGAGCTCGAAAGTACTGGTAGACCCACACCGGGTCTCCCTCCTTGAACTTAATCGGTACTTGGTTGCTCAGTCGTTGCTCGTGTCTGCCCTGGGCCTTCAAGAGTTGGCGCTCTACTAATCGTCTCGTATCCCGTAGAGATAAGAATAGCTTTCGTCTGTAGCTAGCGACTTCGTTACTCTTCCATCCGTTGTTCGTGTTGAGAAACGCGAGGTCCAGAGGTAACACCGGGTCCCGGATATACAGGCTGAAGAATGGTGAGTCCTTAAGGGCCTCGTGATACGACGAACGATATGCGAACAGTACTCGGGGAAGATATAAGTCCCAGTCGTTCTGAGCTTCGTTGACATACATCTTAAGCATCCCGATCAGCGTGCCGTTGAAGCGTTCGACTAGCCCCTGAGTCTGAGGATGGTAAGCAGCTCCAAACAACTTCTTGATCCCGAGTGTATCGTAGAAGGATCGTGCCAGGTTCGAGATGAAGTTGGATCCTTGGTCGCTCAGTAGTTTCTCGGGGACTCCGTGCCGCGAGATCACTTCGTTCACCATAACTTCCACGAACGTTACAGTGTCCAAGCGGGCCACTGGGAACGCTTCGACCCATCGAGTGAAATAGTCAGCGAAGACGAGTATGAACTTGTTGCCTCGAGGAGTAGCCACTAAGGGACCTATGGCGTCCACCACTAATAGCGAGAAAGGTCCCGATAGTTCTTGTACGGGCATCCTCTGCATTCGGCCATTTCTCCAAGGGCGATAGCCTTTACCACTGCCGCACACGGTGCATTCCCGAACATATTCGGCCACATCCTTCTTCCACCCGTGCCAGTAAGCGTGCTTGCGCACTTTGTCGAGCGTCTTAGTAACTCCGACATGAGCGGCAAGTACATCCTTATGACAGTGATGTAGTACCGTCGATA